GACCTGCCTGCTACCAGCTCTGTATCTTTGATCCCACCAGTGCCCAGGTCAGGAACCCTCCACTGTGCTCCATGTCTACACAGCGCAGAGCCCAAGACCCCTGGGCTTTCCGCAATCCAGTCACCTGGGCCAACTTATCCACCAGGCATGAGAGGCACAGAGCCCACTCCCCACAAGACTTTTAGGTGCCAACAAAAATGTTTTAGTTTCCATTTCTCTTAAAATAATAATAAGAAATGAATATAATAATAATGAATCTCACCTGAATTATATTCATCTTTATACCAACTAGCTGTAAAAATATATTTTTTGGCCTAGCACTCTGGGAGGTCAAGGTGGGAGGATCACTTGAGGCCAGGAGTTTGAGACCAGCCTGGGTAACATAGGGAGACCTCATCTCTACCAAAAAAAAAAAAAAATATATATATATATATATATATATATATGTACACACACACACACATATACAGACAGACAGATAGATATAGCCAGGTATGGTCATGTACACCTGCAGTCTCAGCAACTTTGGAGGCTGAGGCAGGAGGATCACTTGATCCTCCTGCCAAGGAATTTGAGGTTGCAGTGAGCTATGATGACGCCACAGCACTCTAGTCTGGGTGACAGAGTGAGACCATTTGTATTTGTGTGTGTGTGTGTGTGTGTGTGTACTTTTTTAATTTTTTTTTTTTTTCAGAAGGAAGAGACCTGTATTAGTTTCCCAGGGCTGTCATAACAAAGTACCACAGACTGGATGGCTTAAACAACAGACATTTACTCTCTCTCGGTTCTGGAGGCAGAAGTCTACGACCAAAGCGTTGGCAGGGCTGGCTTCTTCTGAGGCCTCTCTCCCTGGTTTGTAGGTGGCCGTCTTCTGCCTGTGTCTTCACCGTATCTTTCTCTGTACATGTCTGTGCCCTAATCTCCTCTTCTTACAAGGACACAGTCACACTGCATAGGGCTCACACTAGTGACCTCCTTTTTCTTCTGTACAGACCCTATCTTCTGTCTCATTCTGAGGTACCAGGGCTTAGGCCTTCAACATATGAATTTTGAGGAGATACAATACTATTCAACTCGTATTGGGGCCCATGGAAGTCGAAATGCAGTCCTGCCAATAATCCATGCACAGGCCCCACTATCACCCTCCATCCAACGGCTGAGCCACTCTCCCACCACCCACACTCTAGAACACAGCGATGGGTCACGACACCTTGGCCTTTCATGAATGCCTCCCGTCAGCGTGCAAGCATCCTCCCTCCAGCGTGGCTGCATCAAATCCTCCCTGTCCTTCCCCGCCTGGCTTCCACTCTTTCCTCCAGGAAGGCCTTCCCGCCCTTGAGAACAGCCACTGACCCCTGGCTTATCTGCTGCTCCAGGCACCCAAGGGACCCCACCACCATTAGCACACAATTCTTCCATCACTCTTCATGACCTTGAGCAATAATACAGAATGGGGGAATGAGCAGGAGGGTGCTTGGAGGACAACAGTCTACTGTGGCGTGAGCTCTGTGACCACACTAGGGGTAGCGGCGAGCCCTGCCCCTGTGCTTTGAGCATGGCACTCACCCAGGATCTGCCTCCTTGCAGGTTGGCAGCTTGGTCACCTGACAACAGGATGTACCCCTCAGAGCTGCATGCCCAGAACAGTGCACACACACACCCTGGCTGATGGACTGGCAGGACTCTGTCATCAGCCTTTGTGATGGATGCAGCATCCCTATGCCCTGGGGATCACATCCCAGCTGCACTTGATTTGGCTCTTCTTAGTCTTCTGCCTCTTCCTGATCAAGTGCTCCATGCTGTGGCCACAAGAGCCCTCTCCCCCAAGCCCTGGGCACTGACCGACATCTTGTCTAAGTGCACGCCCTCTTCAAGGTGAGGCACCAGTCACCTCCCCACCCATCAGAGGGAACATCTCTCCCCTGGCCATCTCCACTGGTGTGGGCTCTTTGGAAGGCAGGGCCCCCATACCATACATGTCCTTACAGGGGAACCACCAGCAAAAGGTGTTCAGTGGCCTCAGAATCTTCCCTGAAGTCTTCTCACCCCTTTCCCATTCTTTCAGTGGGGAGCAACCACAGACCAACGTCCATGAGCATGGGAGTGTGTCCACAGAGAACCTTCTGGCTTGACCCATGCCCAGGTCCGCTTTCCCCACTGAGCCCTACCTCAGGCACAGCAGCAAAGGTGGCATGGGGGCTATTTCAGGCCTGAGGCTTGGTTCCTTAAGGTGGTGCTATCCAAGCCTGGCAACCTCTGGACCACCTGAGTCTGGCTGGACAAGCATTCGCAGAACTTGCTGCCCCAGAAATAGAGACATCAGGGCACCTAGCACAACATCAGACAAAGCACAGCTTTCCACACACTGTGATCCTGCACATGTGCCCCTCCCTGAGCAGCTGGAACGTGCAGCTTACGTGCCCAGCTGTAGCCCCCTCCTCTCTGAATGGCCAAACCATCAGGGAGGGGCAGGCGCTGGTTTGGGGGCTGAGCAGCCAGATTGATGCCCTGTAGACCCAATGACCAGGCCCCAGTAAACGCTCATATTTACTTCATTAAATCACCTTACAAATACTACACAAAGTAATCATTTGGAGAAACCTCATGAGAACAAAAGGTCAACGGTTTCCTGACTTGTGCATAACGTGAGGTCCAGGGACGGGCCAGTGGGCTCCAGCCTTGGCTGTAAGTTCCTTGTGATCACCTCTGAAGTTTTAAAAATGCTAATGCCTGAGCCAGCCTGTGACTCTCCTGGCCATCCCTGCCCCCGACCTGGCAGGCTCTGCCAGGCTGCACTGGCTGATGGATCTTTGTGCAGGGGACAACGTGGGGGGAGGTGAAGTTCACCCCCCAAAGCCCTTGAGAGTCTCGTCTACTTCCCCAATGCCTCTGCCACCACATTAAGAAAAACAAAACAAACAAAATAACATTTTCCCTTCTTCATCTCCAGAGAATTCATTAAAATGAGCCTATTTGTGCACAGAATTGGAAGTCTGGCCTTCCAGCCTAATTACCGTTTTTAAAGTACTGGGAAAGGAATTCCACCTGCTGCAATATTTTTTAAAAGTCAGAAAAGCCAGAGATGGAGAGGACAGTTGTCTCTCTGGGATTTCTCTCCATTTTGCCATGACATTGGGTCTCTGAGACCTTTCTGTCTGATGGGGTCTAAAACCCCAGGCAGACAGTGTGTCTCCAAGCCACTTTTGTGCCAGCGGGCATTTGTGACACCAACTATGGCCAGGCCTTGTGCTGGGCCCATGAATGCAGCAGTGGGTCCCAGGGGGCCCTGGCCTTAGCCAAACCCAGGGCCCAACTCAAAGCCAGAAGCATGTGAGTTGCCACAGAGCTGGGAAGCTGTATTAGCCCTGAGGACAGCGTGCTACAGGAGATAGGGCCGTGGAGAGCATGGGAAGGGCCTCCGTGCTCAGAGCAAACATTTGCTCTAGTCCTTGATGAGTCAGGAGAATTTTCACAGCAGAGAAGAGAGGAAAGGGCATGCCAGCAGAGACAGTGACATGAGCCAAGGTGGGAGCATGACAGTGTCACCGCATGGGGAGCAGCGAGCAGGGAAACCTGCCAGATCATGGAATGCGGGACAAGCTGTGGGTGACGGGAGATGACACTGGATGTGGAGCTGCGGTGAGATTTTGAGGAACTCAAATGACACAGGAGGGAGCTGGAGGCTTTGATCCACACCGCTGGGGACTGCTGCAAAGGCCATGGGGCCACCTCTGCCACCCACCGCTGCCGAGAACACCAACCAGCCAAGAGTCTCACTGTCTTCAATGGGACACCAACGGGAGACATAAGTAACTTAATATTCAAAAAATCAAATAATCAAAATAATATACAAGATCACTCATACATACAAACACACACAGACGCACACAGACACACACAACAAAATAAATGAATACCAAATCAGACTTTAGAAATTAAGTCCATTAGGGCTGTCATCTCTAATGCGAACTGACACAAGGGTACAAAGCCCTTGTCTAGGAAGGGCACAACAAAGAAAAAGTGTGACCCATCAGGCTGGGTGCCGTGGCTCACGCCTATAATCCTAGCAATCTGGGAGGCCGAGGCGGGAGGATGGCTTGAAGTCAGGAGTTCGAGATCAGCCTGAGCAAGTGAGACCTCAACTCTACTAAAAATAGAAAAATTAGTCGGGCATGGTGGCACATGCCTGTAGTCCCAGCTACTCGGGAGGCTGAGGCAGGAGGATTGCTTGAGCCCAGGAGTTTGAGGTTGCTGTGAGCTAGGCTGACACCATGACACTCTAGCCTGGGCAACAGAGTGAGACTGTCTCAAAAAAAAAAAAAAAGAAAAAGAAAAATGCATTATTATTTGTCTATATCCTAAGGAAGAAAAGAATATCCTTTTTCTTAAAAATAGTTGAAATGATTAAGTTTGGTGCTTTTTGCAAAATGCTATAGTTGCAAGGAAAATTCACTTTACTTGCACAAACCTCCACATTCACCTGTGGTACCAGAAAAGCCCATCACACAGGCCTCTCCAGGGATAGAAGTGCCTCAGCAACCGTGTGTGTGTGTGTGTGTGTGTGTGTGTGTGTGCGCGCGCGCACACAGGCATGTGTGTGTGGGTGGGGGGAGGAGAGAGAAAGTCCCAGCAAACACAACCACTCTTGAGGAGCGAGATCTCCTACACTCTTTCATCTCTCATTTTTCGTCTTGTTCCTCTTCTACATTATGCTCCCACCCCAAGTAACCAAACACTACAATGGTTTAGCCATACCAAAATGTGTCTTCTCTCTATTTTTAGAATTTCCCTGGAAAATGTTGCCTTTACTGAGGTCTGAATTTTCATTCCGCCTCAAGATCTTTACTGGGATGTGGCCAGTCTATAGTTGGGAAGCTCCTCCATTGCAAAATGACATCCCAAGATCTGGGAACCATTCCACTCTTATCACAGCTTAGCAAGCCCCAAGGAGAGGCCGGCGGGCTGCCGGGTAGGTGGACGGTGGGCACCCGGGACCTCACCTGGTAGGTGTTGTCGAAGCTGTCATACATGAACCTCGTGATCAGAGACGTCTTCCCGACTGCAAAAGAAGAAGAAGAGAGATATTCAGCCACGGCCTCTGAGCTAGGCTCTTCTAAACACACCACATGTGAAGCAAACAGGTAACAAAGCAAAAAAGCATGGAGGAAAAGCCGAGTTGCAGAAACACAGCAGTGGGAGGCAGGCCCCTGGGAGGGACGTTGAGACAGGAAGCTGAGTCTCTACACCAGGGAGATGGGCTTCGGGGGGTGCCTGCCAGGCACCAGAGTGCTGCCAAGGAGGAGGCCTCCCACTGCTGCGAGAATTCCCACTACTCAAACTGAGGTCTTCCTTGACTCAGGAGGGCCCGGCTGATGCAAGAACCATATAGGATATGAAGAATCTGAGCAAGTGGGCACAAAACGAGACACTCCTCTCACACTGGCCTGTGTTCACCTGGAAATACCACCTTGTCTTTGGTCAAGCACAGGGATGGAAGCCTGTTCTTTACTTCCTGTTCATTCAGCCTGGGGATCTGTTAGGAAAGTGGCTTTCCAAGGCACCAGGGACAGGGGAAGCAAATGGGTCACTTCCCAGCATCTCTCATGGGTAGGGCTATTCTTTGCAGTACGTGCCTGACCGTCCAGCTCACTGCAGGGTGTTTAGCATCCCTGGCCCTGCTGGATAAATGCTAGAAGGATCACCCACACATTTGCAAATGCCATGTAAGGGCAGTGATACCTCCAGCTGAGAATCACTGGCATGGCTGAGAGAAACTAGGACGTCTCTTGGGAATCCCACAAATGCTGCTAATTTCCCAAACTGCAGGGTTTGGCTTCTGACCTAACCCTGTGCAGCTCCCCAGGGCCCTGGCGGTGGCAGAAGTGCCAGTGCTGCGTTTCTAACCATCTGAGGGGAGGGGGAAGGGCAGTAAAGGGACATTTGCTAGGACAGGCCCTGTATGGACGCTTCTCTGCACTGTCCCACCACATCTCTGCCACGGCCCTGGAAGGCTCTGTGGGGGGTCTGCCCAGCTGTGCCAGCGCAAAGCCTTCTCTGCTATGCTCTGCAGGAGACAGGTAATGCTGGCAGGGAAGGGCTCACCATTCTGCCTCTTCCCATTTACCTGGCGGGAGGGACATCATGGGCTGGGCCTGGGTTGGGGGAACTGGCTGGTCCCTGCCTAGATGGAGCAGGGCAACCCAGCTCCTTGGAAAAGGCCCCTTCCCAGTTCTGAGGCCTCAGTGGTGCACCAAACAACAGACAAGTGCGGTCACCTCCTCGCAGCCAACGTTTGCCAAAGGGAAGACGATCATCTTCTAGCCAGAAGCAGCACTAGACAGACTGTGTTTGGGCCAAATTCAGAAGGCCCCATCTTTGATTAAAATTGGTTAGCTGGATTCACATCCTATGGGGATACTTTTCAGCTGGGTCACCTTGAGGTGGTCACTGCCCCTCTAGACCTCAGTTCCTTGTTTTAAAATGGGTGTAATAAGATCAAAGAATCAGAGGGCTATAGTAAGAAATAAGGCATCGAAGGCGCAAGGAACATAGGAAATGCTTAAAAGTGGAAGGAGATAGCAGGTAACTGAGATAGCTGAGGAAGTTTCCAGAATATCAGATGGAAAAAAAAATACCACCAACACTGTTGAATAGTAAAGAATTTGACTCATCTTTGTCCCTGGTTCCTGGGAGGTCTTTATATTGTTGGAATTTCCTAACGTGAGTTTTTTGTTATTCCTGAGCTCCTTCCATCATACCTGAGTTTATGCTAATGGGGTGACTTATGGTGGGCCCCCAGATGGCTTCAAAATGGGGCTGGCCGTGCCTGACCATGTGATTAGAAGAGGGGCCTTAAGCCAATCCAATTGCTGCAAAAGGAAGAGAGGCTGGAGATCGAGTTCAATCATTTTGCCAATGAGTTGGACAATCATGCCTACATTATGAGACACCAATAGAAACTCTGGACACTGAAGCCTGGTGGAGTCCTGGTTAGTGAACACATTGACGTGCTGGAGAGGGTGACATGCCCTGATTCCACAGGGAAAGGGCCTAGACGCCCTGCATTCAGGACCCTCCCAGACCTCACCCTGTGTGTCTCTTCATTTCTCGATCCTAATATGTAGCCTTTATGATAAAACTACAATCCTAAGCACAGTGCTTTCTGGAGTTCTGTGAAACAGTCCAGTGAATTATTGAATGGGGGGTAGGTTACAAAAACCACCTGGATTTGCAATCAGTTGGTCAGCAGTGCAGGTATCGGGGGCTCCCACTCACGGCTGGTGTCTGAAGCAAGGTTGTCTTGCTGGGGAAAATGCCCCTAGAGTCTGATGCCTATTCTGGGTGGTCAGTGCAAGAACTGCATTGCAGGACACCAGCCGGTGTGAGAATAGCCGCATTTCTGAAAGAACACCTCTGGGGGAGCCATGATGCACTCAAGATCTCTTCTAATTTTACCTGCAAACAGCCCTTTGAGCTTGCCATAGAAATTAGGCTACAAAGAGCTTTCCAACTGCTTTAAATTTCCCTTAAAACTCACATGAAGGTGAGAAGTGGGGGGCCTCCCACACATGGAGGATCAGCTCTGAGGCCCCAAAGCCACAGGCAGACCTGACCAGGAACTGCTAAGAGGGCCACAGAGTGAGAAAAGTGGGGCAACCCTGAGCCAGCAAGAGGCAGATGAAGTCAGAGAGATCTCAGCAAACTCCTTTTTGAGAGGCAGTGGAAAGTTCCGGCCTTCTCAGGAAGAGGGGGATCCCAGGGCGCACTGGTAACTTCCGTGGGCAGTGTCACTCTGCATCTTACACCTCAGGGAAAAGGAGCAAGCCTCAGGGAGCAGGGCAGGGAGACAGGCAGGAAGACTGATTCTCTTCTCAACAGGTTCTTCCCTGGGGCCATTGAGCAGGCAAAGAGAGACAGTGGAATCCCGGAAAGCCACTAAAAGAACAGGAAGTTCATGGAGTAGCTGAGAACACAGAAATCCCCATAATGCTTTCTTATGCCAAGTTGCTCCTTCTCCAGACACCAGCCACTGGCAGCGGATTTGTACTGGCTCACAGGATAAGGTCTAGGTGGAAGGAGAACAGCCCAGGAAAACAAGTTGCTTATTGGGACCATGTAGCAGGAAACTTTAGGAGCAGGGTCCTAGCTAGTGTCAATATTTTCTGAGCATTTCCACAATAACTGTAGTAGGGAGCACATGACCCCAGTATTTACAGAGCATGTTCCAGGCACACGCTAGGGGCTGTGCCAGGCCCGGGATTTACATACAGCAGTAAGTAGAGGACATGTAGCACCTGGTCTCTGGAAGCTTGCAGCAACACTGGGCTAAGCCCTTAGCTCCACCCCGTTTAGCCTCAATGCTGGGTGGGTACTCGTGTCATCCCCATTTTACACAAGGGGCAGTCAGTTGGTAGCTACTGGCCCAGGGTCAGAGCCGCATGGGGCCAAGATGTGGCTGTTGGACAAAGAGTCCGGCTCCTATCCAGGCCTTCCCTGGTGTCTGTGGGTCATGCTGTTTCTGCCAGGTCATGTATGGCCACCAGTATGGATGTCACCAAGCTCCAGGGACTAGTCCCTGCCAAGGCTCCTTTCTCTTGGGACTGGCTGGAGTCAGGGGCCATTCCCCATTTGTGAAGAGCCTAATCTAATCTGGAAGGTCAGAAACTGGTAACTGAAGCACATTGAAGGTGCCCTGTGGGACCCAAGGAAGGCTCGGGAAACGAGGGTGGGTGGATTTGAACACATGTGGCCCAGCACCCCAACTGAGGCCTGCACTGAATGGGGAACTCATTCTTGCTTTGCCACAAAAGGGAATGACTTCATACTATTCTCCCAGGCCCATTTTTTCTCATTTTTCAGAACTGAAGCCTTTTCCCCCGCCTCAGAGACCACCCCCATTGCCGTCGCGCTGCCAGGATGCTGTGGCTCAGATCCCCGTCTGAACTTGTCAGCTTGGCTCTGCTGCGCAGACCCCTCCAACAGCTCCCCATTTCCTGCAACATTGTGCCCTGCCCCCACGACTCTCCCATACACACCCCACCCTCCAAACCAGCCCATCCTCCTTCTCTCCGAAGTGCACTGCCAGTCAGAATGGGGTCCTGTCACACTTATATCTGGGAAAAACGCAGTAAGCCCTTCCCCAAGCATTTCCTAGCCCCCTGTACTTGGGCGTGGTTCCCGATGGGTCCAGCGCACCTTTTCATCCTTTCCCGGCAACCACAGGCCCCATGGCGACATCTGCACTCTTCATTTCTGGTCAGCGTCCCATCTCAGCACCCACCTTGAGCAAGTCTCTGACTGCAGGGCCTCTGCCCTGACCCAGGCCCCACTCATCTGCAGGGGACCACCGACCAGCTCTCAGAGCAAAGCGTGGGCGTGACACTACTAGATGTGAACTGCAGGGACAGGCGTCCTCCGCACTCCGCCTTTGGGGAGCTTCTGTAGACCTGCGGCAAGCTGATCGAAAAGCAGTTCTCTTGCCCACTTCTGCCCAGCCTCTGTCACAGCATCAAATAAAGGAGCTGGGCAGGTTGGGGGCTGCTCTGTGCTAAGCTCCTCTCCCTCTAAAGGACAGAAGCCCCTTTCTCAGCCCACACCTGCCCGCAACAACCTCCTGGGAGGAAGGCATGGGACCTACGAATGGAGAGCCTGCGCCCCCATCCACCTGGCCCCCTCTCATTCTCCCAGCTACGAAGGGTGGACAAGACAGTGGGAATTGTCACCTGGCTGGGCACTACCTCTCGGCCTGAGGGGCAGTGGCATGGACGGCAGGCGGGGGAGGAGCAGGAGACTGTCACTGTGGCCCTGCCCTGCAACAGCCACTGGAGCCTCCCAGGGAGCCGTCCTCCCCACGCAGCTCTGTCCTCAAGGTCACACTGCCGCACTCCCAACAGCAGCTCTTGGACACCACCGCAGCACAGTAGAGCTTTTTCTGGGGACAAAGATTCAGCTCCACTGACAGGATTTTATTAAAAATAAGCAGGCAAATCATTATTGAGCTTTTTTATTTCCTCTCGGCTCATGGCTCAGCAATATTCTTGTAATCTTCTGGTAGTTTAG